ATACAATGCAGCTTTCTAGTATTAAGCTGGATTTTTTTTGGTTTTGTTTTATATTGTTTTTTGAGACAGGGTTTCTCTGTGTAGCCCTGGCTGTCCTGGAACTCACTTGGTAGCCCAGGCTGGCCTCGAACTCACAGAGATCTGCCTGCCTCTGCCTCCCGAGTGCTGGGATTAAAGGTGTGCGCTCCACTGCTTGGCTAAACTGGATTGCTTCTTAGTAGCCGAAAAAGACCCAAAAGTCAGAAGAATCAACCAAAATGTACAGGAACATGAAAGGCAAATTTGCCATAAAATAGGACTCAAAGTATTGATTATAGGGAAAAAATGCTTCAAGTTTACATATAGTACACAGAATGGAGCCTGTTGAGTAACAACTAAAGCTTACAAAGTCCTTACTATGGGCCAAGTAATTAGCTAGGCATTTCATAGTCACCCACCTACATGTGAGGCAAGCACAAATATTGTATTCATTTTATGGAAGAGGAAACTGAGGCACACAGAAGCTGAGTAACTTATGAAAGGCCATAACCGAAGCTAGAATTTGAACCGAGGCAAGCTGCCCTTCCATCGTGTTAGGTGGCACTCTAGTCTGTCGTTTGCTTTCACTCTCTCCAACCCTTCCTTCCTTCGGTTTTTAATCACATAGTCCAGGCAGGCCTCAAACTAGCTATGTCACCAAGGATGACCTTAAACTCCTGATCATCTGGCCTTTACCTCCAGAGTGCTGGAATCACAGGTGTGCACCACCAGTCCTGATTTATTTGGTGCCGGGGATCCAGCCCAGGGCTTCATATATGACAGGCAAATTCACTACCAACTGCATTATTTCCTCAGCCCATTTTTTATTGTTTTTTTCTTTTTAGACAAGCTCTCACTCTCTAGCCCAGGTTGGCCTCAAACTATTAAGTCCTTCCTCAATCCTCATAAGTGAAGGGAATATAGGCATAAGTCAAGAAGGTGGTCTTTTCATTTTTACTTCCTGCCTGGCTACTGGCCAATCAGCACTTTATCAATCAATCAATCATCCACAGCACAGGTGACAATGTTTTTACTTCCTCTGACATCAGGATAACTCTCTGGTCAGCTTTCACTATCTGTGGTGGTATTATTAAGGCAGAGTATACAGAAAAAAGCTCATGTGGTCAGAAGCTATATCTTAAAACATTTCCTCGTTGTTTAACTTTAGTTTCACATTTTTGAGACAGAATCTAACTATGTAGCTCTGGCTGTCCTGGAATCAGGCTGGCCTTGAAAAGCAGAGATCTGCCTGCCTCTGCCTCCCAAGTGCTGTGATTAAAATTCTGTGCCAGAATGCACTGCCCATTTCATTTTTGAAGCAGAGTTGGAGTTTATTTAGAGGGGATTTTTTGAATATGAGTATATGTGCAAATATGTGCACACATATGTAGAGGCCAGGGGTATTGTTAATCAGGAGATGTGTACTTTTTTTGAGCCTGGGACTTACTATTAGTTAGGTTGGCCGACTAATTAGCCCAGGGAGTCACATGCCTCTGCCTCCCCAGCCCTGGATTACAAACCTTCGAGCACACCTTTGTCACCAGGCTTGGCTTTTTCTGGGGATGCTAGGAATGAACTCAGCCCCTCATGCTTGAGCAGTAAGCAGTTTACATATTGAACCACCTTCCCAGCCCCAAAAGGAGATCTGGAAGATAGATTTAAACACAGATGTTAATATCAAGAGAGAAAGAAGAAGACAGACCCAGAATTGTGAACTTGGGCTTCTCAGAGGAAAGTCACTGCTTGAAATTTTTTTTTGAAGATGTGATCACAATTTAAGATGACGTGTTAAAAGTATAGAAGAACATCAGAGTGTTGAGGCCAACATTCATGTTCCTTCCACACTATTTGTGGCTAAACTTAGTGCCTGGAGAACAAAGATAAAGACTTCAAAAACTTAAAGTTCTGGACATGAATTTCTAAAATGACATTTACTTAAATAGCATAAACCTCATATTTAGTTTTTGCTCTCTTTGTTGAGACAAGGTCTCACTTGTGTAACCATGTCTAACCTGGAATTCACTATGTAGAGAGTGAGTGGCCTGGAACTTGCTGTGATCCTCCTGCTTCTGCCTTTCAAGTGCTGGCCTTGCACAGGTGTGCTACTACACCCTATTTGTTTATTTCTTTTTTTTTTCTTTTCATGTGTCATAAACTTTGAATAAAATCATGTAAGATTTGGGATGATTTGAGTTCTGAACAGGGCCCTTACGGATGCGCTCTTCTGCCTACAAGCATTACCAATTCACCCATCGGGTTGATTCTTCTGCCTTGTCGCAGACTCAGGCTGTATCATGAAGTTTAGGCCCAGATGGGTATTTTATAAATGTTCGTGTTGTCAAGAACCTACTTTTTAATTTCCTTTTCTGTCTTTTTTAAACTTTACCTTAATTAGTACATAGGCTTTGCTTAAGGCTGGCTTTCAATTACAAAATGGCTGCCTGTGGCATGTGGGGTATTTAAGTTCCTTGCTCATCCAGAAGGTATAAGGGGGAAACTCTCACTTTCAAACCATGGGATGCTAAGCTTTTTCTTTTAGTGTAATCAAACCACATAGGGATTGACTGAGACTAATTTGGACTCAGCCTCTCTATGTGTGGAGGGGCCAGATATCTGAAAACAGTGGGGGTTCCATTAGAAGGGAGAGGGAGCAAATAGATGCTGAGCACGCTCTGAAGCTTGTTCTCCATGGTGAGACTCTTGCTGAGACATGTGAGGATTAGAGATAACTGTGTAACACTATTGGGTTGTCCCGTGTAGCAAATAGAAACAGAGGATACCCATTGAAACGTGAATTTCAGATAAATAGCAACTCATTTTTCAGTATGTGTATTCCATTCTGACAGTGATTAAAAGGCTTACTCGGTCTTCTAGCCTTGTCCTGAATGTATTTGGGATAAAAATACATGTATTAAAAGTTATTTATTTATCTAAAATTCCAATTTATGGGGATAGCCTGTATTTTCTCTGTCAGCCTTAAATATCTGTAGCATTCTTAACACAGCAGCAGGTAGGGAACTATTACTGCTCTTTTTACATAAGAAAAGACCTCAGGTAAATGACAGCATGGTATTTCTTAAAAACACTTAAAATGTCTACTTTTCTCTCAAAAGAGGAATTAACTGAACAGGATGTGGCTCCAACAAACCAGTGCTGAAAACCAGATCAAAGCGAACGTTCCCCAGTGAAAGGCCTTGTTTGCCCATGGCATGGCACATTGGAAAACGTCTAATAGAGCTTCTTAAAACGACATTGAACTTAAATCTGTGGGCATTCTATTGTTTTTTTTTTTCTTACCTTCTCAATTTATTCAGATAAACCATCCTTCATTTGATTCCAAGGCAGTGCTGCTGAAATTTCTAGTACAAAGGCATTGACAGGGGGTAATAATGCAGTGATTGTCCCAGGATTTCTGGCTCCACGTGGGTGAAGCATGAGGTCACAGCACTGTTATTTTGCAACTGGAGGAGGCAGGAGCCTCTGCAGAGCCTGACTCCATTTTCCCTCCCTCACTGTTAATCCACTACTCCTACCTGGAAAATTGGTTAATATGCTTCCCGAGAAAGTAGATGCCTTCAATTGCTTATGAAATATTCACCACATTATGAAAAAGAAAATCTTATTAGCTTGGCATCGAGTGGACAAACCCATTACATAGCTACCTGTCATTACTAGATTCAAGACAAGAGTAGATTAAGTGGATTTTATTCAAGATCTCTGTTTCCCATTACACACTGCTATTTCTGATTTGGTGGTGTCTTCGACCTCATACACTACCTATTTTCTGTCCCTTCCTAAGACCCAGAAAACCCTTATTCTTCCTCTCTGCTTTTAAAAAGTGTTTCAAAATCATCATGCAGCTTTTCATAGATTTGTCTGCAACGTCTTTAACAAAATTATTATTTTTTTTAAAAGTGCACTGGGACTATATCTGTATCTCTCATCCCCTATTCATCCTCATTGGAAACCTGATCCACGGTGGGTATTAAGATCTTTATATTTCTACTGGCCCGACGATGACTTCATTGCTTTTTTACCAGCTGGGGAATCTTGTAAGGCAGAGCATCGGACCGGAGTAGAGTTGTGGGTTGATGCTGCAGCCGCTGCCGCCGCGGTTTGCACGCTTCCAGTTGCTGTGTAAGGAATCCTCTGGCTGCCAGTTCTTTGCTCTTAAGTCACCCCAGGGGATCACAGGCTGCTAGATGAACGTGCATAAGAATGTGTTTGCGCGCGCGTGCACGCACAACTGCAACAGTTAGGCAGCAGCAATAGACTTCGATATCATTTTTTTTTCTAAACCAACGACCGAGATGAGCCAACCTTCATCCTTTATTTTCAAGCAGTGCCCGGGCTCCCGCCCGAAATGTGCTCCCCGCCCTCCACCCACTCCGCGCAAGGGTCCCCAGGGAGGGAGGTTAGGATAGCTGTGCTGCAGGCAGGATTCCCCCTTTTTTTTTCCACCGCAGTGACAGGTGGATTCCCGGGCCTCCTCACCCCCCTCCCCTCAACCCTGGCATCCACCCCTCTCTCAGTCACGATCTCTCCCCCCCCATTCCTCTCTCACTTCCCCCTCCCCACAGAAGCTCTCAGTTGGAGCACCGCCCCTCCCACCCTTGCAGCCCAGGTTGCTAGGGCTTGGCCGGGCAACCAAACCTGGTGCGCCAGGCAGAGCGTCGCGAGCGCGCATAAGCGCGTTCGCGTAGCAGATTGCTAGTACAAGAAACCCGCGTTCTAGGATTTCGGGGATTCAAGAACGAGCGGCGTGGGCGGGGCGCGCGAGCCCGAACCCGAGCACGAGCGCTTTCTCTTCATTGGCGCCTATCAGAAGTAGGCGGGGCCAAGGCGGGACCTAGCGGGAGGAGAGGAGCTTGCCGATTGGTTCGAATGGGCAGGCCGGGGGCGTGGCAATCAGCAATTAGGCTGCGCGTTCGCTCCGGCAAGAGGGCGGGGCCGGAGGTTTCGATTACTTGTCGCTGCCGCTAGGGAAGGTAAAGCGGTGACGGCGGCCGCGGGAGTGGAGGCTTCCCCACTAGAGGTGGGGGGAATCGGCAGGGTGAGTAGTTGCGTCCGCCCTTCAGGCCGTCTCACGTTGGCAGTGTGTCTACCAGTTTGTCCCTAGAAAGAACCCAGTCGGTCCACTCCGGAGGGTGACCGAAGGGGCGGCGGCGCCGGTCCCTCCACAACGGGGCGACGCGGCGAGGGCGTCCCAAGCAGGAGTCTCCCTAGGCGACCCACTGCGCGTCTTGAGGGGCTTCTCAGTAGGGCTGGGGCTGGGATTTTTGGTGCCAGGAGACAGGGGGGCTATGCTAGAGAAACAGTGGGGTCGAAGCCGGACCGGCGGGGCTCCCCTCTGCTGCAGGTCTGCGGTGTCCCCACCCCGCCGCCCCCGTGGCCAGGGCTCTCCGGGACTTGCGGCGAGGGAAACCCTTTTCCGCTAGCGCTGAGAAGGGCCCGAAACCCCCCCCCCCCCAAGTTCTCAAAGAGCCCGGGACCCGCCAGCAGCTGCGACTCGTAGCCCCGGTCCTTCTGACCTTGGCTGCCCGGGAGGGTGGGCGAGCGCCCCGCCTGCAGCCCCGCAGGTTTCTGCCACCTTCCACGGGACAAGTTTTTCAGGCGTTGCTGTGAAGTTCACGACTGGCGTGCTGGCAGAGAAGCAGAAATTGACCCCTTCTCAGACCTTCCTACCCTTTGGACCTTCATAGAAATTGAATCCTGGGGTTTGCAACCATCTGCCAGAACGAACAGGTCCTTCTGGAATTGACACCTTTTTTTTTTTTTTTTTTTTTTTTTTTGGTGCCCACGTTGGGGTAAAAAATAACCTGGGCATATTTCAGTGTAAAAGCAGATCTTTCTTGAGGGTTTTGTTTTTTCGCTTCACTTGAGTGGTATGGCACAGATGCTTGAATAAGAAAAGCCTGACCTTAGTATCTCTCCAGACAGACTAGAAGGATGCTGTGATATTTAAATAGTTGCAGATCAGTATTCTGTTAACACAATTTATTTTTAATTGGCTGAAATTTAAGCTGATTTTAGAAAGTATTGACACAGAATAATTTCTTTCCGTGCATCTGATTTAGGCTTGTTTGAATGTAATGGCTATGTACGCAGTATAAAAGATTACACAAATTAATTTGTCTGAGAGCATTTGACTGAAAACAGGATGCATAAATATGTATAGAATATAGGATTAGGGTTTTAGGTAACATCTTCTGGAACACTTCCAGCTTGTTTCTTTCTTGCTGTAGGGTTACAAAAAAGACATTTTTACTGGTGACACTTTGGAATTACAAAGTGCATAACATTTAGATGTAAATCCGTTTTTAATTCTTTTAAATGTTTTAAAATATTTTCTTGAAATGTGAAGAGGCTCTGTTTCCTTATCCCTGTTATCTGGTGTTGAAAGGGAGAGTCTGATCTTACATTTAACAACCCAACTAGGATTCATTAATAATAAAAATGTGAAAGGCCTCCATCTTTCCGAGAATATGGTAGTTAAGTACCTAGGAAGCCTTTTCAATTCTTTATTAAAAGTACTATTTTAGGTTGGAGCATTTTTGGCGTTGCTGCTGGAACGGGAATAAGGAAGTCTGCAGCAGTATTACCAGCTTGACACCACCAGTGGGTGTTTCTGTTGACAAATGCAGAGAGAAGAACATTTGGGAAGGAAATCATTTTTGGGGGGTGGGATGGGGTGGGGTAAGGAGGGGAGGGGAGGGGAGAAGGAGCCAGAAGAGAGAAGCTGTAGAACTAAAGCTGCCAACAACACTGTGTGCCGGCATTGCACAAGTACGGGGAACCTGATTAAGGAGGAAAAGACCATTCGGCTGCATTAAAGAATAGAGCTCCAAAAGAGGCACACTAAATAAAGTTAACCATTCCAAGAGTCTTTAATAATCTGCCATTTCTGAGTACTTGGGAAGAGGGCTTCTCTTGGAAAGGGCATCAAATCCTTTTTAGTTGGCTTGCCTTTTAAGCATAATCAGTGCAATGGTTCATTTGATAGGTAGAAATAGAAAGTGTACTGTTCTTATTGTATTGATTTAGCATAGCTCCTAAGCCTCATTTTTTTGAATAAAAATAACTTGATATATTAGAAAAATTATTCAGAAATAAAATCCCTTTCCCTGGGTGCATTAGTTTTGTCATTGCTCAGTCTTATAATTTATTAAAGATTAGGGACTTCTTAAAGCACCCCCCAGGGTTTTGATTTTGTTGTTGTTTATGCAAGGGCCCTAACTCCATCTACCATTCTATGTTCTTGGAGTTATTTCAATCCGAGGCATCTTCTCTGCTCCCTGGGGTTCTGTAAAGGACAGGTTTCCATTGAGAGAAATTGCAGGGCCATCTCACATAAATAATAGAAGGTTGACTGATTGTGAATTCAATGTATTCTGTTCCAGATATTCTACATTTGAGAAGAACCAGACTTTACGTGGCATTTTCTGTTTTGAAGGTGCAGTATTCTCACACTACAAACCTTAAATACAGAGGTGGAGAAATTCCTATAAGCGTGCATTTCCCCCCAACCCATTTCTCCACAGTGGCTAAGCATCTGTGAGAGAGTCTCAGCCACAGTTGAATTGTTGGAAATGACAGCAGCTCCTCTTACAGAAAGTTAGCCTTTCAGTATAATTTGCATTTCAGTTTACTTAGTAATAGAAAATCGAGCTATAGCTGAGAAATAAGCTTGTAGAAAATTTGTAAAGAATCAAGCTTGGGAATATTTTCTTACTTGTCTAAAATTTCATCTTTTTCCTTCTTCCATTTTGACAGTTTGGGTGGTTATCTCCTTTATTTTAGTAGGATTTTTAGTATTTGGCTATTTGAAGGGGTGCTAATATAAAATTTTATTTTTGGCAGTTAATGTGAGAGTGTAGCACTTCAGTATAAGAAATTGATGTCAAATAATAACATGAGGCATTTCAAATGAACAAAGCAATCCGCTGGCACAGATCTGAAACAGGAAGATCTTTTTTTTTTTTTTTCCTTTGGAGCCTGTCCTGGAACTCACTTTGGAGACCAGGCTGGCCTCGAACTCTCAGAGATCCGCCTGGCTCTGCCTCCCGAGTTCTGGGATTAAAGGCGTGCGCCGCGAACCCCCCCCCCCCCCCCCCCCCCCCCCCCCCGGTAGGGAGAGAGAGAGAGATCTTTTATATAATCCTTAACTTTAGTACAAAACCCCAGCAAGATAGGAACTATTTAGTTGTTTCCTGATTAGAAAAGACTTCACTCAGAATCAGGTAATTTTAGATCTTAAGGTTTTATTTTTGGCAACATCAAATTCCTTGACAGAGGAGAAGATAGAATGTCAAAGGTTGTTTACCATCTGATAATTGTGTCAGTTGTATTTCAACGTAGGAAAATAATGCAATCAAAAGACAATATTTAGAGCTGGAGATGGAACTCGGAGGTAGAGTACATGGCCCTGAATTGGATCTCTAGCAGCAGAGTGGAGTGGGATAGTAGTCTGCATTTAAGCTCTCTGTCGAGTTTCCACTCTGCTTTCAACCTTAAACTCAACATTGAAAATCTTTTTTTTTTTTTTTTTGATAATTCACGATTTTGGTATTTGGATTTTTATTTTTTATTTTTAGATGGGATCTCATCATTAGTCCAGGTTGGCTTGGAACTAACTCACTATGTATCCCAGGCTGGCCTGGAACTTGTAGCAATCCTCCTGTCTCAGCTTCCCAGGTTCTGGGATTACTGGAATGAGCTACTACCTATGCTTGATCTAAATTCAATTTTATATATTTTTGAGAAATTTTTCCCTTATATGGGGCAATGAATGCATTAGTGAATTACTCAAAGGCTGGGTCTCATTTCTCATTGAGTTTATACATTTCTTCATACAGGGTTAGGAATTTGGGAGGCAGTTCTGTCAGTGAATATGAAAACTGAGACCAAGGACTTTCTACCTAAAGAGATGTTTAACAGTTAAACATTTCAGATTTGGGATTAACAGAAAATTATTTATTGAGTAAAAGGGACCAGGCTCTTGGAAGTTTGTTAACAGTTTGAATTAAGCTTTTTACTTAAAGATATTTGTTTTTGGGGTACTTTTCAGCAGAGTTAAGTTTTGGGTGCAGCCTCTCTTTTGTATAGTCTGCTCTATAATTCTCATAATGCTACATCTATTGATCTTACTGAATACCAGATGCTGTGGCAAATTATTTATTCACATGCGTGCGTACGTGTGCTCACAGCCTTTCTCCAAGGTAGATATTTTCCTTATTTCTCATATACGTCAGACGGGCTCAAAAATAATTTGCACATATTAGCTAGCTAGTCAGCAGAAGAGGCAAAATTGCCATCCAAACCGGTCTGACTTGAAATTGTGCTTTTCCAAGTCCTGCTTTCTGCTTCTCTATAAGAGTGTGGTTCCTAAAGCCTGTTTTGAGTTCATTCTGTACATTGTGCCTGGGGAGTCCTGGAGGTATAAATTTGCTTCCTGGGTTTGATGGGCCTCATTGCCAAGGCTGCCTGGCCTTTTGTGACATAGGGGACTGGATCTATCAAGACTTCTGGTTAGGACAACCAGAAGAATAGACTTTTTGCAACACAGCCTCATTGGTTTGATTCCTTCGTAAATGAAAGTTGTACATATAATTATGTATGTCCAAAATGAGATAATTGTTTCTAGTTAAACACTGGTTTCATGTTTATGCATATTCATTGTAGCTTTTCACTGGCTGATTAAATTTACTATACTAATAAAGGCTATGAGGATACCCGTTGAATTCAGTTTTGTCTTTATGTGTATGTGTTGCTAGAGATCGAACCCAGGGTATTGCACTTTCTAGGCAAGTACTCACTACTAGCTATAATCCTAATAGTATCCCCCCAATCCCTCTTTTTTCCCCAATACAGGCTCCCAGTAAGTTACCCAGGTGGGCCTTGAACTCACCCTTTGTATCCCAGGCAGGACTTGAACAGCCTTTTCCTGCCTTGATGCAAAATTCTGCCCATAGCTGCAATTACAGGCCTGAACTACCAGGCCTGGCTAGATGGACTTTTGAAGTGGCAGCTGTTAAAATTTGCAAATGGACCTCTTTTCAGTAATTATAATGACATATAGTAGAATAAAACTGAGAGGCAAAGTTTAAAGAGGTACATTGTTTTTGCTTCATTATTTTATTCTAATTTATGTGTATGTGTGTGGATATCCAAGAAGCCAGAACAGGGCTTCCAGATCCCTGTAGTTAGAGTTATAGGAAGTTTTGAACTGCCTGAACTGCCTGATAGGGTGCTGGTAACTGAACACTGGTCCTCTGGAAGAACAGAGCAGCAAGCCCTTCCAACCACTGAGCCATCTCTCTGGGCCCTTATTCTTGTTTCTTTTTTTCATTTTTTTTTTTTTTTTGAGACAGGGTTTCTCTGTGTAACAGCCCTGGCTGTCCTGGAACTCACTCTGTAGACCAGGCTGGCCTCGAACTCACAGAGATCCGCCTGCCTCTGCCTCCTGAGTGCTGGGATTAAAGGCATGTGCCACTACCCCTGGTGTCATTCTTGTTCCGTAATACATGGAGATTGAACTATAATGAAATATTTTCTGTTGAAAGTAGAAGTTTGGGGCTGAGATGTAGCACTTTTGGTAGAGTGCTTGCCAAACTTCCACAAAGATCTGGATTGGATCCTGGCACCGCATAAACTGGAGGTGATGGCATAGATCTGTAATCTCTAGCATTCAGGGAACCCCAAGTTCTATCCCTCTATAAACCCTGCATGGTGGCACATGTCTGTGATCCTAGGACTTGGAAAACAATAACATTTGGTCACTAAGGTCCTTTGGCTACATCGTGAGTTTAAAGCCAACCAATGACCTTTTTTTTTAAAATGTAGTTTTCTATTTAAAACTTTGTGGTGGTGGTGATAGTGGTGATGATAATGAGGAAGAGGATTATTGGTTATACTGATATTTCGTTACATTTTTATTATGTTTATTTATTTTGTGTGTGAGGGGAGTGGGTGATCATGCACATTCCATAGCATTTGTGTGGCAGGAGTCTGTTCTCTCCCTGCACTATGTGGGCCTCAGGAATTGAACTCAGGTGGTTAGGCTTGGTGGCCAATACCTTCGTGGGCTGAGCCATCTCACCAGCTATATTATTTTTAAAGCAAGACCCATCAATCATTAAGAGAGTCAAACTGTTGAAAGCTTAGTTTCAAAGAACACTTAAGAGGTTCATGTGAAAGAAGAAAAGAGCATGCCATCTTTGTTTTTTAGTTGATACAAATCACCTTTGTCATTAGTGATGAACATTATAGAGCCGCAGGACCAGAAATCTTCCTGGCCAAACCAGAGGGATGTTCGGCACAGATGGAGTCTTGACAGTTTTTGTTGATTTCTCTACAAAGTACAGCTTTCCAACATATAGTTTAACACTTTTGGTTTTGAAAGACGGGGTTTCTCTGTGTAGCCCTGGCTGTCTTGGAACTAGCTCTGTAGATCAGGCTGGCCTGGAACTCACAGAGATCCTCCTGCCTCTGCCTCTGCCTCCTGAGTGCTAGGATTAAAGGTGTGTGCCACCAAACCCAACAAGTTTATCTTCTGTAATAGTATACTAATAAACATTTTAAATAAATTTATGAAGTTTTGTAGCCACTATTTTCAATTTTCAGAATATTTACATCATTCTAAAAATTTTTTTTCCTTTAAACATGGTTTTTGTAACCCTGTTTACCTGCCTTTAAAACATAACTTTTTACACATCCTAATTTTTGTGTTTCAGTTTTAAAATTTTTTATTACACTTATTTATTTAGTGTGTGTGTATTTCTGTGTATATGTGAATATGTGAACATGTATGTGAAGATCAGAAGACAACTTTCTGGAATCAGTTCTCTCCTCTACTATGTGGGTCTTAGGGATTGAATTTATTAGGCTTAGTGGCAAATACCTTTACCTCCTGAGCCACCTTTCAGACCTGTTTCTGGTTTTTGCCTAAGCATGATCCATAGTAGAATATGAAGGATCATACTGTAAATGGCACAAGTTGCCTGGTGTTTGTGGTTTATTTTAGTAACTATCTGATCATTAAATCGCTATGTAGCCAAAGCTGGCCTTCAGCTCCTTTTCTCTGGGTGCTGGGATTACAGATGTGCATCATCCTATTCATGTGGTGCTAGGGATCAAATCTAGGGCCTCAAGCTTGGCAAGCATTCTACCTGCTAGTGAAGAAAATAGCATTGTTCTTAGTGATATATTAGAGATTCATAGAAAATAAATCGAAGGAAAATCATAAAATTACAGTATAAGGAAAAATCATTTTCAGCTAAGACTACGGGCAGAATAATTGGTTTTCTTGATCCTGAGCCAGTGACATTGTTCGGTTTACTGTTTGAGCTCTGATTGTCCTTGACAGATCGTCTCTGCTGTACTTGCTGTAGAGCTGCCTTCATTGTATTCACATACCCAGACATTTTCTACTTTCCATGTTGCTGCACGCTGCAT